ACTTCTAAAAACGACGAGGTACGCCAGTTGATCGACGACAGTTTCGCACGCGTCACAGAGCAAAATTGGCGCAATTATGTCACTCATGTTGTTGAGAAAACGGAAACTGAGATGGGGACTGCGGACAACCTGCAAGATGACGTAGACCAATTGATAATACACGCGAACACAGGGGAGAGTAGCAAAAGCGAATCCGACATCTCGGATGTAGAGGACAACTTTAGTATAATTAATTGAATATCTGTGAGTAACCTCGATTATTTTACACTGTATAACCAATAAAATGCATTTACCAGTCCAATCAGAGTATGGGCTTTTCGGATATTGGGCTAGGTGCACCGAAATCGAGTTTCCGGAGGTTCCACCCTGTATATTTATAGCTATCAAGAAATGTAGTTTAAAATATATTTGTTGGTTTAATAAAGTATAAATATAATATAATGTTAAATAACTTACACTATAAACGTTATACCTGCTCATCTGGTCAAGCGTGGGCAAGGAAAACCATTATCCCATATGGAATAACACAAGGATTCGCTGAAAACTACCATTAAATACCATTTAACTAGGTAAACTTATGTTGTGTGTAAAAAATGCGAGACTGCATTATGTTTTAACAAGTACAAAAACTGCACTTCAGATTTCCACAAAAAAAAATTTCATAGTAGGTGTTAAAATTTCGCAGTGATTTAAGTGCGCAACTTGTTTTTTTAATAACATCGCCGGGATTAAAAAATGTGCAAAGCTTTTTCGATATTCCCGTTCCTGATAATTTTTCACATATTTACAAAAGAAACAGTTTTTCTTGGATATTGGGCTGGGTGCACGGAAATCGAGTTACCGGAGGTTCTACCCGATATATTTATAGCTATCAAGAAATGTAATGTTTTATAATAAAATTCTCAATTCTCAATCAATAAAATTATTTTATCAATATATTATTTTATAATAAATAACAGAGCCCGGCGTAGAGATCTGGGTACGGTTCTGTGACTACCACTTGGACCTGTTTGTATCGCCAAGCACAAGGTGTGAAATCGGGCAATTGTGCATTCCTATATTAGCCGTACTGCACTCTCGGTGTGACATTTTCTATAGCCTTTCGATATTTTATATCTTTATTACAAAATAGCTTAACCATAGCCAAACCAAAGTTTTGTTTGTAGAAGTCTGCTTTTTACATATTTTTATATGTACAGTTAACATATTTTATTTTCAGAATTTTAGTCGTTTCTGAAGCAGGACTTGCTCATAGGGTCAAACATAGATTAGCAAGCAAACCTCAATGTTACAGCGCAGGAGCTAATTTTCAATCTGTCAGAATCCACGATTGTTATACGATTTTTGTACTGTTTTTTGTTGGTAGCATTGCCTCGGTTACTGTTTTTGTAGTTGAACTAGTTGTCAATAAATATTCAAATTTTGTATTAAAATAAGCACAATGCATACGCACAAAATATTGTTCAATGGAAACATGCTTTGGTAAGGGCATGTAGATTTCGCTGCTATGACATGAAAAAAGTTTTTAAACAAGTGAAAATAGATTACAAAGACTTAAAAATTAGACAAAATCACCGGAAAGCAAATGTCAGAACTAGCCTAGATACTTCTGAATCAATTTAAATTCTCAGTGATGTTAGACAGGATGACATCTTTTTATCAATGTTTTTTAATCTGTACTTTGAGCATTTATTCTCTAAAAATCACTTGTCAGGGTTGTTTTAGGTATTAAGGTCAGAAAGGTTAGAAACACACGACGAATTTCGCTTTATGGCCAATATAAGTACTCACAAAGAGAAATACAGATATCGCATATCGAATCTTATCGGTAGCACGAGTTTTATTTAGTGTAGTTTATAATAATTTCATAGATCACAAATTGATTCGAGCAAAAATTCTGTTCAATTTAAAGAATGAACGAACAAAAATGATAAAATCAGACAATCGTAAATGGACCCTGCCCGAAAATACAGACCACTTTCGTGACATCATTGACCATAACCTTTAACAAATCAACGACGAAACACAGGTCGAAGTATCGTAAAAGCCCTTAAAGAAGCGGATAAGTTGTGCTGTCCTAAAATAAAGAAAAAACATGAGAAAATAAGTCTCAACACTAAAAATTTGATCGAAGAAAGAATGAGGCTAAAGGACATGTATAACACAAACTACGCAGAATTTAGTCAACTCAGTAAAACAATAAACAAAGAAATCCGAAAAGACATACGGCAACATAACATGAGAGAGGTGATAAGGGTGATAGAGAAAAATAGAAGTCTGAAAATTCTAAGACACAACATGTCCACAGGAAAAAAAGAACATACATAAGTTAAGAAATAAACAAGACGACATTGTGACTGATAAGGAAGAAATAGTGAAAGCAGTGGAAGACTTCTACAGACAACTCTATGAAACAAGTGAATCCGATGAAAGACGCCCCTTACCAAAGATAGAGAATCAAGCCTCAACATTAATGCCGAACATAACTGTTGACGAAATTAAAAATGCAGTTCGGGTGATGAAGAACAATAAATCCCCAGGTGAAGACAGGGTAATGACCGAAAGCCTAAAACTAGGAGAAAATAAGCTCTTACTGACACTTGCTAAACTGTTTAATAAATATCTGTGCGAAGCGATAACACCGACGCAGTGGAACAACGCGGAAATCATCTTACTTCATAAGAAGGGAGATATCAGCGACCTTAGAAATTACCGCCCCATTAGCTTGTTGTCACAAGTATATAAGCTATTTACAAGAGTTATTACCAACAGGCTAGGAAGTAAGTTGGATTTCTATCAGCCAAGAGAGCAAGCAGGTTTTAGAGCAGGATATGGCACGAACGATCATTTACAAGTAATTAAAAACTTAATAGAAAAGAGTGTTGAATATAACAGGCCATTAGTCATGATATTTGTTGACTACGAAAAAGCTTTTGACACAATAAGTCATCAAAAGATGTTAAAAGCATTAACAGAGTGCCGTATAGATCATTGCTATATAAACATGATAAAATACCTACATCTATCAAAATGGGACAGCAAGCATGAAACTGGCAGATAAAAGACCAACGTATTTAAAATAAAACGGGGAGTGCGACAGGGAGACACAATTTGGCCAAAATTGTTTACAACATTATTAGAGCGTATGTTTAAGAACGCAAATCTGAGTGAAAAAGGAGTTAATGTCAATGGAGAAATGCTTAGTCATTTGAGGTTTGCTGACGATATTGTCCTTTTTGCTGACAGAATCGAAGATGCAGTATCGCAACTGGAGAAACTATACTTAGCCTCCCTACAAGTTGGATTAAAAATTAACCACACAAAAACACAAATAATGACAAATCTTGTGTTAAGCGAAAATATTTCAGTAAATGGCATGCACATTGAAGAAACCACCTCTTATAAGTACTTAGGACATGAGATACGCATAGGAAGAGATAATCAAACGTGCGAACTAAGCCGCCGCATAGGTCTTACTTTGGTGGCATTCGGCAAGCTGAGCTATGTTCTTAAATCAGAACTGCCTATTTGTCTTAAAAGAAAAGTCTTTAATCAGTGCGTGTTGCCAGTACTTACATATGGTGCAGAGACATTAACACTAACCAAGAAAGTAAGAAATAAAATTTGTGTTACCCAAAGAGCCATGGCACGATCGATGTTAGGCATTTCTCGTAGGGATCGGATCACGAACAAGGAAATAAGACGGAGAATAGCAGTGACAGATGTCATAGAAAGAATTATGACCCTTAAGTGAAACTGGGCGGGTCACATAGCTAGAATGTCGGATAACAGATGGACACAGCGAATAATACAGTGGAGACCGAGACAAGAAGCACATCGAAGTAGAGGTCGTCCACCAACAAGATGGTCTGATGACATAAAACGGATCGACAAAAATTGGATGCAAACAGCACAAAACAGAAATACATGGAAAATACTGAGGGAGACCTATATCCAGCAGTGGATAGATCCAGGTTAAATGATGATGATGATAATAATTTCTAATACAATGGGTAAATTCTTCTAGTAAATGGGTACTTTTTTCTTGCAATAATATCGATGTCATCGACGTACGCTAGTAATTGTACGCTGCGATTAATAATAGTTCCTCTGGTTTTATTCCAGATTCTCTGATTGCCTTCTCTAGTGCAATATTGAACAGAAGGCATGATAGGCTGTCTTCTTGTTAAAGCCTTAACTGAGACTGGGACGTTTTGGAAACTCCGTTCTGTACTCTAACTTTACACTCGATTCTTGAGAGGGTCGCTTTCAAGAATTTTACTAAGTGTATTGGGATGTTGAAGTCTATCATGGCCTTGTACAGTACGTTTATTTCAACACTATCATAGGCTTATCTAAAATCCAAAACCCAAAGTAGTAATAATCGTAAAAATACAAAAATTGTGACAAATTAAGCCAAAATCAATAGGAAACAATAGAAATGGGTGTTTGGTTGAAGCCTAAAACAGTAACATGACAAAAATACTCAAAAGTAGAAGCAAATCATGGTAAGAAGCAAAACAAACGGAAAATAGTCAAAAATGAAAAATATGTATGCTACTGCTTTTTAACCCGTTTCTATTGAACAACGTAGTGAGCACAACGTTCAGTACAACAACTTGTTTAATTACATGCACCTAACACTCTCTGCTCCCCACTGCATTATTCTTTCTTTATCTATATCTTTGTAGAAATCAAATAAAGTATAATTAGTATCTTTAGGGTGTTTTTTTAACTACCTTGCTTTTCTTTCTTTGTAATAAAAATATCAACCCATCGTAGTTCTGCGATTAGAATAGCCGGTCCCAAGCACGGATAAAATTTGGAGGGTGATTGACAATCTACTAAACGTAAAAACAAAGACTGCTCAAAAAAACAATCAGCAATATTATGCTCAATATGTGGTATATATTTCCAATAAATGTATAAGCTTTAGAATACTCAGAATCTTCAGACGTAAGCAAAAGGTATTTTCCAAAATAACTACATTAAAAACTGATAAAATTTATTATTTTTTTAATATTCAACAACAGTTTTATCTATCTTATAGATATTTACAAATTTTCTTATATTACGTAGGGCCTATAGTTTACACTTGGATCGATTGATTTCAGCATAATTAACAACCTCCTTCCACCATGGTGGTCTGTTCATGTTGTAATCATCCTTGGTCATTGATTCTTTTAGACGTTTATAGACCTAAAAAATAGAATATTTTAGATTTTATGAACATTTTGATTAGGGATTACAAGCATTTAATTACTCATATAGAAGTATATTGGACCAGGACCGAAAAAGGGTTGTCGAGCTACTGATGATGATGATGACAGATGTATATTTAAAAAAAAACATGAAACAACTTGAAGACACCCAGTCAGGAATCTAGAAAACCAATCAGACTACATATCTTCAAATAAAATATATAACAAGACGATAGATACAAGAATTTACAGGGAAACGAACGCAGACCAGTACATAATGATAAAAACAATGAAGAATACGATAAGAGCAAAGTTAAAAGTTATACAGTAGAGGAAAAAGGAAATGATGAAGTAGCTGACGGAAAGCAGTCTATATACGATCATTACTCATCATTTTTACTGAAATTTACATTTTTTTCCATTTTTCGACCAACGCAACGGGTGCATTTTCTCATAAACACATGTATATGCAGAGTGGCCCAAAAGTCTGGAAACGGCTAATTATCTCGTAAATTACTAGACATAATTATACAAAATTTGAGATACGCCTATTTTGGGATACGGAGATTCCATATTTGATATTTACAATGTTGCCAGATTTGTCGTTTTTCTTATATTATTAGTAACTTTGGTTTTTCAAATACATCACCCTGTATATTCAGTCAATATTGGAATCTCCTATTAAATACGATTTCAACCATATGTAACACTTATGATTTTATGTAATCTGGAAGGTCATAAATACATAAAATCGAAGTCTGGCAACGCCTAAATTGTTTCAATAAATTTTTTAATACTAACTATTTTCAAATACATTAAAACGTAACAATTGATAGTTTAGAACATTTTTTAACATATTAGTTACGTTATTAAGTGTTCAAAATTTGCTCAATTTGTGAGTTGACAGCACCCTAATCGATGGTAGAAGGCATCTACCACATTTCTCCATGATTGTCTAGAAATTATTCGAGATTCATCGATAATTCATTGCCTTAGCTATGCAATACTTGCTGGTTAAGTTTTGTAAACTGAATTTTTCAAGTATCTGTAATAAAAATAATCTTTAGGATTGAGATCGGGTGAACGTGGAGGCCATTCAATTCTACCTTGTCTACCAATTTATCGTCCGGGAAATATCTCATCTAAATAACGCCGAACATTTGCACCAACTGTCTGACGTTAAATTTTTTTCGATAAAAAATGGCCCGATTAAATAAGTACCTACTATAACTGACCATACATTTAATTTTTGTGGTCTTTGAGTAAGGTTTTCACGCATTCAATATAAATTTCCCACAAGTTCAGCTATTTAATATGAGTTCAACCATATGTTCACTTGATTTTATGTAATCTGAATGATCTTAAATATATAAAACAGTGCAAAATATGTAGATTTTAATAAATTTAAATATTTAAATGGAGAATGCTGTGATTTTGACATTTGTTCACCATTTAAATTATGAACTAAAATTGACAATAGTTGTGGTTCAAAAAGTTCTGAAATTTAAATTGCTTCACTATAATGCCGTTCTCAAAACCGTTCTCCTATTCATAAGACGACGGTACAAAAAACTGTAAGGCGATTTGAGGAATCTGGAGAAGTAAAAGATAGATACCGATCAGGTTGACCGAAAAGAGTTACCAATGACAACAAAACTTCAGATATAAGCAAAGTTTTGTTGAAGATCCACATACATCCCCAGGCTCGGTTGCACAAGTACATTATGTAGGTCATTCTTCAGTCTTACGTTTATGACGTAAAAATAAATTTAAATCATACAAAATTAACTTATTGCAATAATTAAGTGAAGATGACTTTGGTCGTAGATTAGAGTTTACTGAGGTAATGATGGATAAAATTTAAAATTATTAAAATTTCGTTAACAGAATATGTTTTTCCGATGAAGCAACTTTTACACTGTGTGGAAGTGTAAATCGACACAATTTAAGGTACTGGTGTGACGTAAATTCACACTGAAGACTGAATGCGTGAAAACCATACTCAAAGACCACAAAAATTAAATGTATGGTCAGACATAGTAGTTACTCTTATTCAATTGGGTCATTTTTTGTCGAAAGAAATTTAACATCAGATAGTTGGTGTAAATGTTCAGCGAGATTTAGATGAGATATTTCCTGGACAATAAATTGGTAGACAAGGTAGAATTGAATGGCCTCCACGTTCACCCGATTTCAATCCTAAAGATTATTTTTATTAGGGATACTTGAAAAATTCAGTTTACAAAACTTAACCAGCAAGTCTTGCAGAGCTAAGGCAACGAATTATCAATGAATCTCGAATAAAAATGTTCTAAACTATCAATTGTTACGTTTTAATGTATTGGAAAATAGTTAGTATTAAAAATTTTATTGAAACAATTTAGGCGTTGCCAGACTTCGGTTTTATGTATTTATGACCTTCCAGATTACATAAAATGTTACATATGGTTAAACTATATTGAATAGGAGATTCCAATAATGACTGAATATACAGGGTGATGTATTTGAAAAACCAAAGTTACTAATAATATAAGAAAAACGGCAAATCTGGCAACATAGTAAATATCAAATATGGAATCTCCGTATCCCAAAATAGGTGTACCTAAAATTCTGTACAATTATGATTAGCATTTTACGAGATAATTAGCCGTTTCCAGACTTTTGGGCCACTCTGTATAACGGGACGATGGACACAAGAATTTACAGGGAAACGAACGCAGACCAATACATGATGATAAAAACAATGAAGAATACGATAAGAGCAAAGTTAAAAGTTATACAGTAGAGGAAAAAGGAAATGATGAAGCAGCTGACGGAAAGCAGTCTATATACGATCATTATTCATCATTTTTACTGAAATTTACATTTTTTTCCATTTTCCGGCCAACGGGTGCATTTTCTCATAAACACATGTTTATATTTTTTGAATCAGTATATCGGGATTAATCGAAATAAATTAAATTTGGAGCGAAATTTTTTTTAACGACATATAGGCATTCAACTGGAATTTTTTATCACGAACCGTTAAATTTAGGAAAATTTTGAGCATGGAAGAAGAACAGACGGCAAATTTTATGTAGGAAAAGCGCAACGATTTGACTCTCAGAACTAAATTGGTTGAATTTGAAAAAAAATCGAAGAGTACCCCCTTTGAAAATTTTTGGGCAAATTAAAATTTAAAAAAATCGTTTTTTTGATGTTTGTAGATGAACTTTGTCCAACTTATTTCAAACATGTATTTTTGTTTATCCTCTACCCACACGTTTTGGCGAAAAAAAAGAAAAAATCGAATTGAAAAATTTACATATTTTTTTAAGTTTTCAGCTAAACAATGCATTTTCTCATAAGCACATGTATATATTTTTTGAATCAGTAAGTCAGGCTTAATCGAAATAAATTACATTTGGAGCAAAAGATTAAGTTTGTATTTTTACGAAATTTTGATGACATATTATAGGCATCCAACTGGCATTTTTTCTCAAGAACCGATAGATGTAGAAAAATTATGAGTATGGGAGGAGAACATGCGTTAAATTTTATGTAAAAAAAATCTAACCGTTTGAATGTCTGACGTAAATTGACGCCAATATACCTGATTATTCAATTTTGATAAAAATCCAAGGGTACTTACTTCCTTTGAACATTTATAGACAAAATAAAATTAAAAATTTGTTTTTTACCATTGGTAGATGCACTTGGTCCAGCTTATTCCAAACATGTGTTTTTTTCTCATCTCCTACCCACAGTTTGGAGGAAAAAAGGAAAAATCAAATTAAAAAAATTACAGTTTATTCAATTTTTTCATACGGACATGTATATATTTTTTTAATCAGCAAGTCAGCACGAAGCGGATAATGCAGAACAATTATGAGCATGGGAGGAAACGAGCGGCCCATTTTATGGAAGAAAAAGTCCAACGGTTTGACTCTTAAACATAAATTTACTCCAATATATTCGATTATTGAATTTTGAAAAAAAAAATCCAAAAATTCCACGAGAATCACTAGATGATACGAAACTAGACACAAGTGATGATAAGAATAACAAACAAAGAGCACTTTAAATATTTACAAAAATATTATATACAGACTTTTATAACCAACAAATACAAATACAAAGGTTCATAAGACCACAGAAAAATAAAATGAAATAACATTGAAAAAAATAAAATAAAGTTAAACACTCTCTTTCTTTTCGTTAAACACTATTCTAAAGGTGATTGGAAGACTGACAATGAAAATTATTGAAACAAAAACAGAAAATAGAATAAACCTGCAAATATGTGCTTTGTAGATCTAACTGAAGTATTTGACTAAGTCTAAATCCAGCATACATTAATATTTATTCTATGACAGCAGCATTCCAGTAATCTTTATAAGTTTTATCTTTTTTATCTGTGTTAAGTGTAATATTTTTTAACAATACAGTTTTGTATACGATTGCAATACAGAATAACTTACTTGCCCATCGGAAGAACCCAAACAGGACCTCAAAATAAAGTCCGGAACGGCAATTGCGTCTACCAGACCTACAGCATCGTCTTTCAGATCGGCACATAATTTTAAAATCGCGTCTTGGATTAAAGTCGGCACTAAAGGACTTGAGGCGAATCCTCCTTTAAATAAAGTCGCCATGTGCCATCTTTCTATCGACCACAATCCAAACAGTGAAAAGATTTTCGTGAGAACAGCCTTTATAGCAGGATCCTCGGCTTCGGAGATGGTTACCAACATTCTTTGTAAGAAGAAATGCTAAAAACTAATGTAATATTAGAACAAAAATTAATAGCTTTATGGTGAGTAGTTTTTTTTTAATATCGTATGTACAAGATGTTTACAGATTTCAATATCTATTAAAAATATTCAATAATAGTGTTATGTTACTATAATTACGGATCTATAGTTATTTCGAAAATTCTACCAGGCTTTCTATTAATGCTTTACTAGCGATATTTGTCTGGAATTTTATGGTGAAAGCGCTTACTCGGCGTTAATACCTTTGCTGGCGATCTCTAGAACATCTGTTCCTGTATAAAAATAATTACGGCGTCTTTTTGAAGAGAGTAATTAGATAAGGGTGTTTGTAATCATTATTGTATTTGTAATTGTTAATAAGATATTAGTTATTAGGAGAAAAACATAATAATCAGTGACAGAAGAAAGTGGGATTAAGTGAAAGAAGTTATTTTCGAGACTTTTTATGGTAAAAACAAAAAAAAAAGACCTTCGCCAATACATCACCGCGACGCCATGGGAACGAGTTACTGTTGACATTCTGGGACCATTTCCAGTAACAACATCAACAAATAAGTAATTGATGGTTGCTATGGACTATTTTTCTTCTAATCAAGAAGCAATCACAGTTGGTGAAGCTCTGCTTGAGAATGTCGTTTCCAGACATGGGTTTTACTTCTGCTTCATTCTGACCAGGAGCGCAACTCAAATTCGAAGTTTGGAAGACCATAAGGGCTTTACTGGGAATTAAAAAGATCCAAATCTAAAAATAGTCCGTAAGTGGCAAATGAAGTGCTATTGTATTGGCAAATAATATGACTTCTGTGCATCCAAGAAGGTACCTAAAACGACTTTGTATATAGGGTGCAACTAACGCCACAAGGTAAGCAAAAGGTCGTCCACCTAGAGAAACTGTGTCCTTATGAGGCGCAGAATACACTGACCTAGTCCATTTAGGTGCTGTTTGGAGCAAACAGTCTGAAAAAAGGGGGCGATGTTATGTGACTGTAATTTCGATCCTGTAATTATCTCAATAATTCTACCTGGCGTTCTATCAACGCTTTACTAGCCCTCTGTTTCTGGAATTTTATGTTGAAAGCGCTGACTTGGCGTTCATGCCTTCGCTTGCGATCTCTAGAAGGTCTGTTCCTATATAAAAACAGCTGTGGCGTTTCTTTGAAGAGAGTAATTGGGCAAGTATGTTTGTAAACAAGATCCATATTATTGTAAGAAAAAATTATTAGTGTATTTATAATTTTTCAATATTTAGTTTATAATTGACAAAATAAGTATATTATTAATGAATTATTTTTTATTATTTAAAAAAAACATTAAAACCATCTTGTCTTGCTTACAATTTTTATATTAGTTGACTTTTACGTAAGTCATAAGTACATTATAGCCACCCTACACTATTGTACCAACCTATACTTAACAATAATGGTTATTCAGTTACTATTAGTGAGTTTTTTTTGTAATAAGTCAATCTATGTATACTTCACCTAATCCCTGAACTAAAAGAAAAACGAAGAAATACATAAAATGTGCAACCACTTATTGAGACCTAAGGCACAATTTTTATACTGACGTTTACATTTGCATTTTAAACACAATAAAACTTACTTGAATAAATGCTATTGCTAGACTCTTTCCGTAGTATACTTGACTGTTGTTTTTGGCTTCAAACGAATCATTTCCACCCTTCAACTCTTCTCTTACTTTGTCGTGAGTAGCTTTCAATAGATACACAACTATCCACTGGAATGTTTTAACAATGCCTACAATTCGAATAAATTAGGCATATATGAAAATGTCTCTAAACTATGCTTATTATAAAAGATAGAAAAACTTACTGTTTGGGTGAGAAACTTCCTCGATATCTCTAGCATCAAATCTACTATTCTTCAAAATGCTCAAACCGTTCGATAAGAAATCAATTGATTGCATTGGACTAGATATTTGCTGTCTTTTAAGCATTTGTGGTGCTAATTTAAGAAGCCAATTGACAGTTTGTTGTATCAGTACATGGTTTTCTCCTTCGACTGTTAAATTAGGATCAAGGTCATCTCTAACTTCTCCTAAACCAGCAGCTAAAATATCATTTTTGATTAAGAATTACGTATTTTAAGGTTTGAGTGGAATATTTGTAGAATAAATCGTTCGTGACGACAGGCAGTTAAACAATGAAGAAACAATAAAATAATAAAATTTTATAAGACAATGGAAACACCCACTTTATTATTTAAGACTGCACTAATTAGCACGAGATTATACATCATCATAATCAGAAGTGCCTCGACAATCTGTTGTGGACCTTGGCCTGTTCACAAAGAATTTTAAGCATTTTGTATGAACGCAACCTATAAACCAGTTAGTGAAGAATGAAACACAGAGCTTTTAAACATTCACAGTAAATTTGATTTTACATGGGTCGTAGTGACCTTCTGTAAACAACACAATTCGTGTATTTAAAACAAAATGTAAATAGACAGAAGAACTAATTAGCTTGTATTGCTGACACCGTCCGTAATGTACTATGCAACTTTGTAATTGTTCAGTTATGCAATAAATTGAAAAACTACAGTCTGTATTTTTTTAGAAAGATGCAACATCGAAAATCAGTTGGTTTATTGTAGGAAGAGCCAGACGCCAACTCATTCAAAAACGACCAATGACGTCTTTGCTCATTAAACGAAGATAAACAACAATCTAAATGACGGTGGAGATAAGTGAATAAATAAAAAAAAAGGTGGTTTGTAACGATGTACTGAACGTTCAACAGTTCGAACCGTGGGAGTGTCAATAATCACGCATCCATTTCCACGACGAGACAACGAGGTGGGGTCCGGAGCGGCTATTTAAGGCAAGCGACTGGCGGAATTAAAGAAGTCTGGTGGCTAACGCTCTAGACTCCCTGGCTAGTGTATTGAATCTGCGAGCCAACCTGGACAGAGAGACTTCCGCAGTGAGGATTATACTCTGTCCTTAATCAAGCAGAACCCATAGGTATCGTGAATTGAACGTTACCGTTAACTCTGACTCAGAGTATAACGTGGATCTGAACAACCGAATATTTTGATTGCGAGTGCGTTTAGCGCTTCCGCCGGATTCAGGTGAAAGCGAGTATAAGTCTGCGTGCGATCGAATTAGCGTATTTCATATTTTGTTAGTAATAATAAATTTTTCTTTTACGAACGTGCGTCGCGCCGGGGAATTTCTCTCTCGCGGGATCCAGACGGGGACATTTTATTTTTATTTTTGTATATACGTTAAAATTAATAGACTTATTTTTACTTCAACCTGTGTTTTACTGAGTCTATCGCTTTGAAAGAGCTACCCATCACAGGTTAAAAATCAAAAAGGAAACAAAAGAAGATTATATTAACTGGTTTAATTTACCCAGAAGGTAACCGTGTCCACCACAACACTCCCTGCATTCTTGAACGGCATCTCTCAGTATCCAGCCAGCCATCGGTTTTGACGCTGAAGAAACACCGTGAATTTCGATTCCCACTTCAAGCGCATTCGGTAACGAGGTGTTCATAGTAAATTCATATAATATTTGTGTAAAATAAGTGTTGAAGTTTCTTATGACATAAGTTGCTGCTAAATAAGGTATCAAACGAAGTTGCTAAAATAAAAATATTAATTGATAAATAAAAAATTATATTTTTATTAAATCGAGGTACATCGATTAGGATTGAAAGGTTCTAAATCACTTTCGCGAGATTACAGCACTATAACGATTAATAAGAATGAAAACTACACCAATAGTTTAAGGATAATTTGATATTTTATAAGTTATTTTATTATTTTTTGCTAAAAAATCGCTCTATCAAACAACAAATAGACGATGGTCTCCAGATTTCGACTAAAATCCCCTGCTGAAATAGCGTTAGAGTTAGAAATGAGGAGTTCCTTAGACGGCTGAGCCAAACAACACAATTGGTCAACATAATAAAGAAACGCAAGCTGGAATACTTCGGTTACATTATAAGACACCCTGAAAAATATGATCTTTTACATCTGATCATTCAGGGAAAGATCCAAGGTAATCGTGGTCCTGGTAGACGAAGAACATCATTGCTGAAAAATCTAAGGCAATGGTATAGAAAATCAACTACATCGTTATTTAGAGCTGCTGTCAATAAAGTCACGATAGCGAATATGGTAGCCAACATGATATCCAACGATCGATAACGGTCATGGAACTAGAAGAAGAAGAAATAGCGTTAACACAAACAAATCAAGCATGATTTTAAAAAGAAGTCATTAGTTTAAAAGAAAACCAAACTATACACGGTACAGCTGAAGATGGCCGCTGGAGACCATATACTGCAAAAAGGTCAAGAGTTCGACCGCAAATGAAATGGAAAGATGACATTGAGCAAAGCGCAGGTCCAATGTGAAAAAGACAAACAGAAGACAGACAAATTGAGACAAATGGAAGAGGCCTATATTCAACACATGACTAGATTTTGGGCTATAGATAGATAGATAGACATATGAAGTTAAAAAAATATTTTTATTATTTAAAACAAACGAAAAATTTTAAAATAGGATATTTAGGTTAATTTATACTTACATGGCTTTGGTATTCCAGTATCGGTATCTCCTCTTTTCCACTTGGTCCGAATTGCTTCCTTACTGCCGCATATCGTACCGCTATCGTGATGGCTTTAGCTGCTAAACCTTCAACGATAGTAGCAACGTTTACTCTTCCTGCTGACAAAGATCCTAATGCAGCTCCGTGTCTTCTATTCGCATCTTTAATCGGAGTTATGTAACGTCCATCTTCAGACACGTCTGCTATTTTGTTGAGTAAGTTGGTTCTGGGTATTTCGTAGTTTGTAAATTGTACAAAACTAAAAACAAACAAAAGTCATTATGTCTTCTTCTCAAGGGGTGTCTGATACGTTTTTTTAGTTATAATTAAGTTGTTGTGGTTGTTTCTCTCCCCACGGGATTAATTAAATGGGAAATACGGGATTTGGAGTTTTCTCCCCAGATACAGACTATTCATTTTAATCTAAATTACCCAATTATAGCCAAAATATGCACCGAAGAGGTAATCGCGATTATTCATGTAGTCCAAATTATACTAGAACACAATATCACCAAGGGGAATAAAGACGTAAAATGCGAAACAATGGAGTTAATTCCAGTTTACTTCCATTAGCTTCTTTTAATCAACTCTGACTCTTACCTTCACGCTGGTATCCCCTGTAAAGCGAGAAACCCAACTGGAGATCCGGTATCCAACCCGCGTGGAAAGTTGGATCGGGAACTGACGAAAGCGGGTGAAATGGTCCTCCGAAAGAGGTTTTGGCGTTGGGTTAACTATCCAACCCTGTAAAAAACCTTTTGTTATGAGAGCTACAAAAAAAGAAACCGGGCTGTCTAATCTACGACGAACTCATAAATGAAATAAGGATAATGAGTTAAAAATTTGCATGTGCAAGAAGGCTTTATCAGCCTGTATCCACGGCTCTGCTCATACAATAAATAAATAAAGCCAAAGCAGATATTATTCCTTTACAGGAAATGAGATGGACTAGCTCAGGCATCCTGGAAAAAATAACTGCAATATTTACTACAGTGGACATCCATCGCGACACGAATTTGGTACCGGATTTATTGTAAGCAGGTCAAACATAGTGTAATTGCTTTTAAAGCTATTGATCATAAGAGAAGTTCAATAATATTAGCATTATTAGCGTCTATGCTCCAACGGAAGCAAAAGAGGATGATGAAAAAGACATATTCTATGAGGCACTAGACCGAGAGTACGATGAGTGCCCAAAAAATCACATCAAAATAATAGCAGGAGACTTTAGTGCCAAAGTTGGAAGAGAGAATATATTTTTGTCCACCATCGGAAAAGAGAGCCTACATATATACTCTAATGATAACAGTCTCAGAATCATAAACCTTGAGATCTCTAAGAACATGGTAACTGACACGATTTCTCCATAAAGATATACATAAGGGAACTTGGAAATCTCCTGATAATGAAACAATTAACCAAATAGACCATATAATCATTGATGCCAGACTGCTTTAACTTATAATATGTTAGGTCTTTTAGAGTAGCAAATAAAAAAATATAAAAATATAAAAATATAAAAATATAAAAATATAAAAAATATAAAATAAAAAAAAAATAGACAAAAACAGAAATATCCAGCTTATTTTAGTATAGACCTTATTAAAAAAATCAGACAAAAAAACAAATTAAGCAAACATATAAAAATAAGGAAAGCTAGTGCTGTCGATAACAATAAATTTAGGAGTCTTAGAAATACTATTAAAAAGCAAATCAAAAATGAATTTATGCAGCATCAAAATAATATTGAAGATAACATTTTGCATGACCCAAATAGTTTTTGGACATTCATAAGAAGTAGGAGACAAACCAACGGTTTTCCTCACGAGATGTCTTTAAATGATCATACCTATACAGGCCCTCAGGATATTGCCATGGCTTTCTCTCATCATTTTAGCTCAATTTATCAGGTATCATCTACACATCAGGGTAGTTCACAGGGATCTTTTAACTTTTCAGTTATTAGTGAAGAAGATGTGAAGGTTAGTATAAAAAAATTAAAGCCAAAAAAGGCCACTGGTAGTGATAATATCCCTGCCTATATCTTTAAAGGATGTTCTGATATATTTCAAAAACCATTATCACATCTATTTAATCTATCTCTTAAAACTAACACCTTTCCAGACAAACTCAAAGAGGCTACCATTACTCCAGTTTTTAAATTAGGTAAAAGAAACAATATAGAAGACTATCGTCCTATAAGTATCCTTAATTCCCTGGCTAAAATATTTGAATCTATTCTCTATATGAATATACTGAAAAATTTTGAAAACGAATTTGCTCCAGAACAACATGGTTTTTTACCTGGGTTATCCACAACTAGTAATCTGTGCATTCTTTCTAATTTTGCTAGTGAGGCAATAAATAATAAACTCCAATTAGATTTAATAATGACTGACTGCTCAAAGGCATTTGATATGGTTGACCATGGCATTCTTTTATTGAGATTGAATGAGTTTGGTTTTTC